TGAATGAATACAAAGCTATACTGCAGTAAGCTTGAATCATATCATACATTGTGATGGTAAAGAGATTCAACCAAGAGTCCAGGAAACTAAACTTTCTTCATGTTTTTTCTCAAACTGTTTTAAAACTCATGTCAAGCAGCACAATGACGAGAGACAGGAGAACAAGAAGACACAAAGAGAGAAACACACAGCCTGCAGCAGCCTGTCAGGAACACAAGTTCACACACAGCTAGCAGGAGCAGAGCGCGCAGCAACACTTTGGCAATACACTGGAAAAAATGCTGCTCCAAAATCAAGTAAAAGAATAATGAAAACAAGCTGTTTTCGCGTGTAATAAGTAAAAAGATCTGCCAATCGAACAAGTGGAGATTTCCTTGGTAAGAGAACTTGAAATAAGACGGGATATTTAATAAAGGAGATCTTAATTAGCTGGGAAAACTTATTTTGAACTATATCTTACCAGGAGCGCTACACCCCAGCCAGAGCTTTAAGGTCTGCTGACCAGCTGCTGCTGGTAGTGCCCAAGACCAGGTTCAAAACCCGAGGGCACCGAGCCTTCGCAGCAGCTGGCCCTAGGCTCTGGAACACTCTGCCCCTCCATGTGAGGTCGGCCCTGACCCTAGGGGTTTTTAAATCTACTCTTAAGACACACTTCTTCTCTCTGGCCTTCTAGTCAGAGCGGAGCACGACTCCTGACTTTTCCCTGTGTTTTTTTTTTTTTAAATATCTGTTTTATTGTGATTATAGAAATGTGTTTTTATGTGATTGTAGTATTTATTACATGTACAGCACTTTGGCCCGACCAAAAATCGCTTTTAAATGTGCTTTATAAATAATCTTTGATTTGATTTGATTTGATTTGAGGATCACTAAATGTTATTACAAAATAAGCCTGAAATGTTTTCTGATGTTAGTTGGTGATTTTCCAATAAGAATTAGTTTTTGTTTTTTAAATCAAGTAAGATGTATTTGTTGAAACAAGATTAACGATCTTTTACAAAAACAACAGCTTAAAGAACTCAAAATAAGATGTTTTCAAGAGTCTTGAAGATGCATTGTCTAAAAACAAGACCCTCTATCTCACTGCATTGCTACCTCTTCAGTTATTATGTTTTATATCGAGTGTAAAGACATGTTCTGACTAGATATTAGACAAATATAGTTGGCAAGATGTTGAGTTTTTACAGTGTGAGATTATCTCTAAAGTAATGCTTCAGAAACACCCTTTCATAACAGAGGAGAGACTAAATGATCCTTTTGTGCAACATGTTTAAATGCAGCGATAAAGTACTGCACATCAAATATACACTGTTTTCACAACAACTTTTTATCGGCACACATACATGTAAATATATTTGGTAACACTTCATATTAAGGTACCATCAATTCACCATCAACTAGTTGTTAATTAACATATTAGAGTCAAACTACTAGCATGTTTGTTATGAACAAGACTTCACTTTAAAATAGGGAATTCTGAGTTAGAAAAAACACATTTTGAGTTATTTAGACACAATTAACCATTATAGTTTCATGTCTTGTTACATAAGAATAGATCATATTTGTTAAGTGTTATTATGGGAGAATAGCTATTCTTGTGGTACTACTGCCTTATTAGGCCCATATTGAGCAGAGCATATTAAGACCAAAACTCATGTACAACAACTTCCTTACTTACAATGAATAAGCATTAATTAGAGGGTTATTGAGGAAAAACTCTCAACTAATGGCTTATTACTTGTAGAATATGGTCATGTAGAATAAGGCATTAATAAGTGTTTTATAATGACTAATAAAGAGCCAATATACTGCTAATATGCATGTTAATTAGCAACTAGTTGATGGTTAATATGTGCACCTTAATATAAAGTGTTAGCTATATTTAAAAGTGTTGTTTTTGCCTATGTTTTTCATTATGTATGTAAGTTTGTGTAAGGTCTGTCGTGTCTTGTAACTATTGTTTAAAATAAAGAAACATTAATAAACAAATTGTTTAAAAGAACTAGCTCCAGCATTTCCCTTAAAGTCAATGTGCAAAGTCTCTAGTTTGTTTTTATATAAATGAACAACACAACACTGGTTTCCTTTCCTAAATTGATTATATCACGAGGAACCTTCAGTTTAAATCTCTCTACATTCTACAGGATGAACTTTGAAGTAAAACGTGTGCAGAGCATAATGTTAACAAAGGTGTTTATTCAAGCGTTAATAAGCATAATTAATGACCTGGTTAGGCCTGAACGGTTCACATTACGGTAGAACATTAATCAGCCTCTGCTTTTCTTCATTAGTTTTGCTGTAGCCTTAATGCATTAAAACACTTTTAACATATTGTCTGCCATTTGCTTTTAGGGTACATCTAACCTTCCAGTATTCACAGACACGACAATAGATTTATATTTAACAAAGCATTATTTACCCAGCCTCTGACTGTTCATGCCATCCTCTCCACACTTGTTTTACTTAAAGGGGACCTATCATGCAAAATGCACTTTTGTACGTCTTTTATACATGAATATGTGTCCCCGGTGTTCCAGGGAACTCACCAAGTGTCAGAAAACACAACCCTCTCTATTTTCCTCCATACCCAAATCTCTAAAAAAGGGGCTGCAACGGATCTGATAAAAACTGATCCAGATTTGAACACTGTCCTGACGTCAGGACGGTGGCGCTACGGCTATTGGGCCAACTCCACCAATCAGGAGGAGACAGCCACGGCCATTGCCGTTCTAAAGCGCTGGAGACGCTGTAGTACATATGCCAGGCCAGTAGGTGGTGCTGTTCTCACTGAATCTGCCCTTGATAAAACAGAGCTAAAAAATGTCAAATTGAGCGAAATGAGGCATGGCTAAAATGCATGATCTGTTTGGTATTTTGAAAAAAATAAAGTATAAATATGCCTTATATAGGTATGGCCCTACACTATATTATTCAAATATAGCATGATAGGTCCACTTTAAGAAAAAAAAACTGTGTAGAAACAAATCTATAGTTTAACAGAAGAAGAATGGTCTAACGTGTCAAATACAAGCCACCGCCTCCAGCTCTGGCCAGTGGAGAGAATTTTCATGGAAGAATATCATTTGTTTTTTCATAACTCCAAGAAGAAAATATTATCAGAATGGCAGTCCAGAATCTGGAGCAATATTATGGCTGATCACTTCCACATATTCTGGAATTGTCCTTCACATGCTGATATACAAGAGAGGGAGTTACACAGTCACAACTTGGAGGAATACCGGTTCTTGCAGGTAAGCATACATCCTGTCATGTACACAATTACAGTGTTTTCTCAAAATGTTTTTTTTCTTCTTCTGAAAATCTGAAAATTATGTATTTTGTCAACGACTTAAAAATGAAGTATTCAAAAAAGAAAGAAAAACTGTGTTCAACTACATTCAATATCACTCTAGTTTAAACACTTAGAATGAACTCCAGGTGGCACATCATGACGATTCATCAATAACATTATGAATGCATGATGTGGAGAAAAACCACACAACCTGCTCCTTAGACAACTGGACTTAAAACCACACTGTACATTTTACCTTTATGTCCAATCTAATATTTAATATTCCATTCCTCACATGTATATATAATATCCTGCTTTATATTTTGTCACTGTAAATGTTTAATTCAACTTGTATATTTTCTACTTTTCTTTAATGCTATATTATTGCTATTGAGATGTTTACATTTTGGAATGTTGATTTCTAGTTTTTTAATTTTGATTGTACAATGCCTTTGGGATCAATAAAGTACTTCTTATCGAGGGCAGAGGACACACATCCTTTACTGAAGTAGAAGTACAGATACTCGTGTTTAAAAATACTCTGGTCAAAGTAGAAGTACTGACTAAACTTCTTTACTCAAGTAAAAGTAAAGAGGCTTTGAAAAGTACTTCAGTAAAAAGTACCCATAACTAGCAGCTGTTTTAAAGAGTACCTGACCTCCCTTTATATTAATAGAACAATAATGTCATTGTTAGCTAATGAATGTTTCCATGCTGAACAACGGCAACATGACAACGTTTTCATTGGTCCCTCTTCTTTAGAGAAGACCAGGAAATGATGGATACACGGATCGTGTTCAAATCAATAGGCACGCAATGACTCTAAAGAATAATGATCACGCCACCAAACACATTCAAACTAAAGGAACCAGCCTGTTTGGGAAATGTGAGAAGTAGAAAGTACAGGTATTTGGGTTCAACATGTAAGAAGTAGAAAGTACAGGTATTTGTGTTCAACATGTAAGAAGTAGAAAGTACAGGTATTTGTGTTCAACATGTAAGAAGTAGAAAGTACAGGTATTTGGGTTCAACATGTTAGAAGTAGAAAGTACAGGTATTTGGGTTCAACATGTAAGAAGTAGAAAGTACAGGTATTTGTGTTCAACATGTAAGAAGTAGAAAGTACAGGTATTTGGGCTCAACATGTAAGAAGTAGAAAGTACAGGTATTTGGGCTCAACATGTAAGAAGTAGAAAGTACAGGTATTTGGGTTCAAAATGTAAGAAGTAGAAAGTACAGGTATTTGAGTTCAACATGTAAGAAGTAGAAAGTACAGGTATTTGTGTTCAACATGTAAGAAGTAGAAAGTACAGGTATTTGTGTTCAACATGTAAGAAGTAGAAAGTACAGGTATTTGTGTTCAACATGTAAGAAGTAGAAAGTACAGGTATTTGGGCTCAACATGTAAGAAGTAGAAAGTACAGGTATTTGGGTTCAACATGTAAGAAGTAGAAAGTACAGGTATTTGGGTTCAACATGTAAGAAGTAGAAAGTACAGGTATTTGGGTTCAACATGTAAGAAGTAGAAATTACAGGTATTTGGGTTCAACATGTAAGAAGTCAAAGTAAAAAGTCGTCAGAAAAATAAGTAGTGGAGTAAAGTACTGGTACCAGAACAATGTACTTAAGTACAGTAACGAAGTATTTGTACTGCAATACTTCCCACCTCTGTTCTTATCTTATATATATGAGATGTTTTTCAGCTCACCACATAGAGTTGTTTCCACAGTAAAGCCCATTCCTGAAGAGTTGCCGTCACCTCGGTGATGATCGGATCCTCCAGAGGAACCACCGTCTCATGAGGCCTGAAGGAAACACACAAACACTTTAATAAAACACTTTATTCACTAACATGGAAGGGATTATTGATTAAAAACAGTGTTCAGCAGCGGGAGCAACGTTAGATTTTACATTTTCTATTAAAAGTTCACAACATGTCCAAATTGCACATCTTGACACTAAACCATGTTCTTGTTTATCACATTTCTTTGTGCACGCTATCTTTCAGAACATTTATAAATTATACTAAGTTATACGTCCCCAGCGCAAATGAAGATATGGAGTCTTGTTTCATAAGATTATTTCATAGATTTGAATACATGAGGGGGGGAGTGATGGGTTTGTCTAAGGAAGGCAGAGAGAGAGAAAGGTGGAGCATTAATAAGACTTTAAGAATGAGAGATCAAATAGAAACACATTACATTAAAAACTCCATCTCTGAGATTAGACCTCACATTTCTATCCCAGCACATTTTCTTATTTTCTGCCTCTTCGCTCCCTCTCCTCCAAAACAATTCAAGTCCATTTGCTCCGTTTTAAAGAATCCCTATTCTGTTTTGTGGGTGTTTCTTTTCCCTGTAGTGTGTTATATTGGTTTTAGTGCATGTAAATGGTCTGCAAAGGCTACAATTCCCGTGTTCCCTCCAGAGGGAGTTTCTTTCCTTCCTGTGCAATGCTTTGTCTGATGAAAAACGTTTCCAAATGTAAATCAATACAAATAAATCTAGTTTAATTAATCTAACTTGAATGAGTCATTGTTAATGATATCACAACAAATTAAAACACATTTTTTGTATGTCCACTCCGATTTGAGGGGACGAACAATGTGAAATGTTCTAGTTGGGAACTCATTTTTCTGACTATCCCGACAGCACATGAATGCAACACTCAAGCAATGTTAACAAAAGTGGATCTGAATTTTATTTAATTGGATAACCTCTTTTTTGCCCTTCCCCCAAATATCATGAAAAACAGACCAGTAGGTTTTTCAGTAATCGTGCAGAGAATATAAAAAAACGCAACTTCCTTGGAGGATTTAATAAATCAGATTTTATGCTTTTTAATTATTTACATACATTTAAAGGTAACCCTAACCCTACCTTTAAGACACATGGAATCAAACGTATTGGGATACTGTGAATATGAACTTTCAACATGTAAATATTGCATATATTATTTCATATCAATGCACCATGTAACGTATCGCTGTTATTCATATTTATTGACATGTTTGCATGCTTAGTAGATTACAGAGCAAACAGTTGACCTTGTTTGTGGCTCCTTTGTTTTGCGTTACACACAGTTAGGCTTCAACAATGGTGAGTTCAAGTGATTTGTGTTTTCGGGGCATGTCAGAGTTACAGTCCAATGCACCACAGAAGAAGAACATTCTGCCCAAAAACACCAGCGCTGCGTGTAATCAATGAGCACCAATGTTCACATGTGTCATGTTAAGACTGGGAGTAACCGGGGACATTTGTTTGCACTAATTATCTCCAAAAACAGGGAACAGATTGTGACTTCAACGAAACAAAAGGAAAACTGTGTTTAATCAACCGGAAGATCTGAAACTGAAACAGGGAAATATTCAGGGTGGAAAGACATTTGACTGTTTATGTTCTTCTACTTTATTTCCATTTAATTCTACTTGATACGTCTATTTCACTACATTTCAAAAGGAAGACATGTATTTTCACTTTTCCAATTAGGGATTAGCATTAAAAACATGATTTAACACGATGCATCTCTAAAGACTGAACCACTGGAATTACTTTTTGAGCTACAAAACAATTAAGAAAGAGAGTCTTAAAGTGTTTGAGCATATGAACTTTGTTTGTCTACTACTATAGGTCATTTTTGTATACTGTTGTTTACATAGGCTATAGTGACATTAATGCTGATTAACACAATTTATACTAATTGTGCAAATGTCCCAACATATGCAGGTTAGCATTCGGCAGTTTCGTGCTGGAGACCCTGCTGTACATTTACTTTTACTTTTATTTGTTCCATACATCTGACGTTTAGTCTTCGAATACTGAATTCAAAATCGGAGTTCTGACTTGAATCCAGAACATTCTGACATTATTTCGGAATTCTGACTTTAAAGGTGGGGTAGGTAAGTTTGAGAAACCGGCTCGAGATACACTTTTTGTTATATTCCATGGAATGCTCTTAACATCCTGATAGCAATGAATATCTGAAGTGCTTTGACAACAAATCCATAATAAAAGTTCATCTGTGGAAGCTGTAGTACTGTAAAAAGCACGACCAATCATCTGAGCCGGCCCGGCTAAAATAACTGGATGGCCTACCTGCCTGTCAGCCTTCCATCTGTGCACAAACTTATCTCGTGCCCTCATTGGTCATGTGCGCGTTCGTGTGTGTTGGAGGAGGGGCTCTGGAAGGAAGTGGCAGATTTTCTCCGGATGTGTATTTTCAAATTCTCGCGATCTCGAGCCGGTTTCTCAAACTTACCTACCCTACCTTTAATATTAGAACTCAAATGAAAAAAATCAATTTCGGTCAGATCTACAAAATGTTTTGGCCCTAATCCTCTTCCGTACAAAACGTCTACACACTCCTACAACACTGTTCTCTCCACTAAAGCAGCCACTTCCCCGTGTTCCTGCAGCACGAATAAAACTAACCTCAGAGCATTTATTTCACGGTTTGCGTGTTGAACCTGCACACACACACACACACACACACACACACACACACACACACACACACACACACACAGACACAGACACAGACACAGACACACACACACACACACACACACACACCACACACACACAGACACAGACACAGACACACACACACACACACACACACACACACACACACACACCACACACACTCTGCTCCTGCTGTAATACATCATCCTGAACAACATATCGCTGAGTCCCTGTCTACCCCCCGGAGAACCTCACACTCCTTCCTCCTGCCTGACTCTCTGTACTCTCTCGTTCCCCTCCTCATGTCTCCAGCTGATGAATGAATAAAGCAGCGAGCTCCGTTATCTGAGGAGCAGCTGGCCTCCTGCTGATTTCCCCACATCACTTACACTCGTATCTCAGACGCTTTCTTTCTCCTCCTCTGTTCTCCCCCTCCTTTATTCTGTTTCACATCGTTACCCCTCTAGTTCTCACTTTGTACTGGAACATTTGCATCACTCCCCTAAGTGTCTACTCTGCACTTCCCTCCTTTCCTCCTTTCCTCCTTTCCTCCTTTCCTGAACCCTCTCTCCTCTACTTCCTTCTCTTAAAAGCAAATGCACGTCCTTATATACTTCAAGTCTCTCCTGTCGTCCATCATTCTGAAATGTTACTCCTTTTACCCTTTTCTTTGTTATTCTTAAACTGTGTCTCTCTCTTTTTAACAAGAAAAGTGTTCTTTGGGAACTTCTGTCTTTGCTCACTAAATAATGAAAGCCCACAGCTGTTCTGCAAACGTTAAAGTAATTTATTATTCACTCTATTGTCTACTTTAACTTTAACTTTGTCTCAACACACATCCAACAGTTTGAAGTCTCTATTATAATGTCTACATATCTTTCCATGAATTAAGCACTATATCTATATTTCTAAAAATATTGATTCATGTCATTAAACAGGCGCTTCTATTGGCTTGGGCTACAACACATTATACATCAGCAGGAGAGGACTCTTTAAAGTAGAGACACTACATACTGATATACACCTGAACATCAGCAGGAGGCACTCTTTAAAGTAGAGACACTACATACTGATATACACCTGAGCATCAGCAGGAGAGGACTCTTTAAAGTAGAGACACTACATACTGATATACACCTGAACATCAGCAGGAGAGGACTCTTTAAAGTAGAGACACTACATACTGATATACACCTGAACATCAGCAGGAGAGGACTCTTTAAAGTAGAGACACTACATACTGATATACACCTGAACATCAGCAGGAGAGGACTCTTTAAAGTAGAGACACTATATACTGATATACACCTGAACATCAGCAGGAGAGGACTCTTTAAAGTAGAGACACTACATACTGATATACACCTGAACATCAGCAGGAGGCACTCTTTAAAGTAGAGACACTACATACTGATATACACCTGAGCATCAGCAGGAGAGGACTCTTTAAAGTAGAGACACTACATACTGATATACACCTGAACATCAGCAGGAGAGGACTCTTTAAAGTAGAGACACTACATACTGATATACACCTGAACATCAACAGGAGAGGACTCTTTAAAGTAGAGACACTACATACTGATATACACCTGAACATCAGCAGGAGAGGACTCTTTAAAGTAGAGACACTACATACTGATATACACCTGAACATCAGCAGGAGAGGACTCTTTAAAGTAGAGACACTACATACTGATATACACCTGAACATCAGCAGGAGAGGACTCTTTAAAGTAGAGACACTACATACTGATATACACCTGAACATCAGCAGGAGAGGACTCTTTAAAGTAGAGACACTACATACTGATATACACCTGAACATCAACAGGAGAGGACTCTTTAAAGTAGAGACACTACATACTGATATACACCTGAACATCAGCAGGAGAGGACTCTTTAAAGTAGAGACACTACATACTGATATACACCTGAACATGAGCAGGAGAGGACTCTTTAAAGTAGAGACACTACATACTGATATACACCTGAACATCAGCAGGAGAGGACTCTTTAAAGTAGAGACACTACATACTGATATACACCTGAACATCAGCAGGAGAGGACTCTTTAAAGTAGAGACACTACATACTGATATACACCTGAACATCAGCAGGAGAGGACTCTTTAAAGTAGAGACACTACATACTGATATACACCTGAACATCAGCAGGAGAGGACTCTTTAAAGTAGAGACACTACATACTGATATACACCTGAACATCAGCAGGAGAGGACTCTTTAAAGTAGAAACACTACATACTGATATACACCTGAACATCAGCAGGAGAGGACTCTTTAAAGTAGAGACACTACATACTGATATACACCTGAACATCAGCAGGAGAGGACTCTTTAAAGTAGAGACACTACATACTGATATACACCTGAACATCAGCAGGAGAGGACTCTTTAAAGAAGAGACACTACATACTGATATACACCTGAACATCAGCAGGAGAGGACTCTTTAAAGTAGAGACACTACATACTGATATACACCTGAACATCAGCAGGAGAGGACTCTTTAAAGTAGAGACACTACATACTGATATGACCTGAAGATGAGGAGAATATGGCCCTTTTAAATAATAATGGGATCTAAATGCAGGTTATCGGAGATAAAAGAATATGAGAACAGTTTTACTGTCGCCCTCTGAAACAAAACAATGCACAAAGTAACACAAAGTTAGCACATCTGTGAATACACCCCTACTGTTACCACACACACACACAAACACACACACACACACACACACACACACACACACACACACACACACACACACACACACACACACACACACACACACACACACACACACACACACACACACACACACACACACACACACACACACACACACACACACACACACTGTCAGAGATGATCTCCCTCCATATGCTGACATTAACCCAAAGGTCAGACACAGGACTGCTACTGTTTGACCTCTGTGATCTAAACCAGAGCTGACTGAGGAAACACACACTCTACTCTACTCACAGATACACACATGTACACACACTGCACTCACAGATACACAAACTGTACTCACAGATACACACATGTACACACACTGTACTCACAGATACACACAGATACACACATGTACACACACTGCACTCACAGATACACAAACTGTACTCACAGATACACACACACACACACACTGTGCCCACAGATACACACATGTACACACACTGTACTCACAGATACACACATGTACACACACTGTACTCACAGATACACACACACACACACACACACACACACACACACACACACACACACACACACAGGTCAGTAGTCCATATGCATTCATCTTCACGCAGTAACTCTCCTCTTCCTCTGCCCTGGAGCTCCTCTCCAAACAGTAAAGGATCCACTAAGTCCAATTAATTTACTCTGCGTGCCTTTAATTAAAAAATTCTTATGCAAATCGAGACACGCTCCGTTACTCTGATTAATCTGAAGAAAGCAGTCATTATGTAAATGTATTAAAATATGTACTCTTGAACATGGAGGGGAGTAGAGAGGAAGAAGCTCATACCTTATTTAGAGCGAGCGGCTCTCAAAACAACTTCACAGAAAACAGGATCTCATCACATTAGCCCTTCGATGAATCCAAACCCAAGACGAGGAGAAAGCCTGTGGCATCAACCCGGATAAAGAAGGGTGGATTATATCTGATTGATATAATTCTACCATGATGTGACGTCCAAATAAAACATGACCAAGTGTCTCAAAGGACAGGAATATATCTCTCTATCAGGCATTCGTGAATCCAGTTTGTATTTCTCAATTCTGTGTTTGTGGTTCGGCTCGACACACTGTTTTGAGACAAACTTTCCAAAGGTGGTAAGGCAAGTTTCTTTATATAGAACCTTTCAACACCAGGTAATTCAAAGTGCTTTACAAAAATAAAAGACATTAAAAGCAGTAAGAAATAGTGCTGCAGAAACGCGTTATAAAATGACATTTAGAAACAATAACTGAAAAGAAAAGAGAATAAAACGCCACCTTTTTACGTTTGCCCGATACTTCCCTTTCTTTTTTAGATTCCCTGAACCTAGGATTTTAAACCAATTTATTTTTAGACTCCCAGAATCGAGGGCTTTCAACCTGCAACAACCTACAGTACAACAAAAATCTACTCGTGTCACTCGGCTATGTTCATGTGATGAAGTAGTTAAACATTTACACACAGATTTGTTGTCTGTTCATACAAATAAGATTGAGTCAAATCTACCCCCATACCAAAGGGGTTAGAGAAGTATCAGTAGACATTAGGTACACCTTTAAAGGTCATCTACATTATAAATCCTCTTCTTCATGTCTTTTCTACAAAAATGTGTGTCCCCTCACTCAGAAAGTTTCAGGAACAAAGACACCCTCTCTTTTTGTCCTGATCCATCTTTATGAAAACCTGTCTGAAAACGAGCTGATCAGATTTTGGCCACTTTATGATGTCATAACCAGGGGTGCACATAACTGTTTTGCCCTGGTTCTCAAAGGAGCACCTGGAGATGTTGCTTGGTGCGCATCCTTAAAATGAAATAAACCGTACCTTTTGAGGGGCACTTGACTTTATGAACGGGGGGGGGGGGGGGGGGGGGGGGTGCGCTAGTGATGAGCACGCTCATGAACTGTTCGCCGGATCGCAGCAGGGTTACTGTTTGGTGCTTCAGACAATCAGAGACAGGTTCTGTATATATCTGAGACCTGTGATATATTGATGAAAAACAGTATAATAGGGGACCTTTAAAATGCATTGCTTTGAGTAGTCAAAAAGCAAAAAGAGTATGTTAATTTAAAGTGGACCTATCATGCTATATTTAAATGATATATTGTAGGGCCATACCTATATAAGGTATATTTATACATTTCTGTTTTCAAAATACCAAACAGATCATGCATTTTAGCCATGCCTCATTTCGCTCTATGTGCTGTTTGCTGTCTACGGGTCTGATTCTGCTGACCACGCCCCCCTGCAGGAGAGGGGAGACGTGCTCTGATCAGCTGCTGGGCTGTCAGAAGAGGGGGAGAAAAAGAGATCTCTGTCCTCCGTGTTTTATTATATTATTATATAGAGTCATTATTCATTTGTTTTAAAGCTCAATAAATAACAAAGAAGACCTTTGACCGGCACTTTTCTAATTTTGTCCGGAAGATTTAAACTTTAACAGACATCTTGACCGGCGAAACAAACTGAAACTGAAACTCTGCCGCCCGGTCCCCTCGTTCCTTGGAAGAGGCGGAGAGGTGGGTGTTTGTCATCTGCTGGTGGACTAACCGGAGAGAATTACAGTGCTTGCCTCGACGGGGAGGGATTGCATTGAATTAAAGCAGCGGGAGCAAACGCTTGCCTCGGGGAGGGAGAAAGAAAGCCACAGCGGAGAATAAACAGAAGGGTAACCATGGTAACTATGGGCGGGAAGTCTTCTTCGCTGCTTTTGTGGCAGACTACAGCGCCACTTACAGGCCTGGCATATGTACTACAGCGTCTCCAGCGCTTTCGAGCGGCAATGTGGCCCAACCCCACATTCCCCTGATAGGTGGAGAGTTGGCCCAATAGCCGTAGCGCCACTTCTGTGACGTCATAGAAGTGTTCAAATCTGGATCAGTTTTTATCAGATCCGTTGCAGCCCCTTTTTTAGAGATTTGGGTATGGAGGAAAATAGAGAGGGTTGTGTTTTCAGACACTTGGTGAGTTCCCTGGAACACCGGGGACACATATTCATGTAGAAAAGACGTACAAAAGTGCATTTTGCATGATAGGTCCCCTTTAAACTATATGTGAATAATTTGACTACAAAGTTGTGTAGACAGAGAAACTCAAACTGTGCTATGTTAATTTGGAGGTCTGTAAACTTACCCTCTGTTGGTGACGATGGCCTTCTTCAGTTGGATGTAGCTCGCTGGGAAAACTCCCTGCAGAGACAGAAAAATAACGTTAAATAAAAGGATCAAACCACGAAAAGGTGTTGGCACCTCACTTTTAGAGACAAGACAATGTCTAAATCTGTCTTGTGACAGATACATACATTGTATTTCAATTCTTCCTTGCACTATTTTGTATTTGTTTTGATATCGTAGGTTGTTGGAGGACCCAGGGACCTCAGCACAACAGGATTGCCCTTCCTTTAATTCATAAATAAACTTTGAAAACAATACAAAATGTGCAATTACTATACAATAAAAAGATAAACTAAAAATAGATTTTTATATAAAGTTGAGGTATAATGTCTGCATTAGAAGATTAAATAACATTTGATAAAAATATATATGACCATTGAAAATGTGCAATGAAAAGATACCATACAAATATTTATATACACATAAATCCATCCCAGAGTTGTCGAGTTATTTCAGCGTGAAGATACCTATCGACTCTAACATCCCCAGAGCAAGGAAGCAGGTAAAGCTTATTTAATGAATACTAGATTTAATGTAAAGTACCCTCCACTACTCCCCACCTGAAACACAGACACACCGAACAAGCTGAATACATGTAGAATAACTCTCAGAGGGGCAGCGATCAATAATTCATGTGTGTGAATAGAGGAAGGTGTTAGCATGCACAGCGCTTCATTTGATTTAACAGTCAGATTAATATTAACTCTCACATTGCAGATACAGTAGATGCACGTCTTGTTTTAAAACCAGCTATTGAGCATTTAGCAGTTTGGGTTTGATCGGATTTACAGTTTTGGCAAAAAATGTACTTCACTTGGTTATTACAATCACCTGTGAACCTGTTCATAACGTGTTGTCTTTGTGATGCAACGCAACCACAATGCAAGTCAAAACAACGCAAGATGGAGCAACGCTACTTAACACAACGCAACCATAACTTAAAGCAATGCCACACAACCACAACACGCATACAAAACTACACCTCATCTTAACACAAGACGACCACAACACAACTTAAAGCCCGCAACCACAATGCAACCCAACGTAATGCAACGCAACCACAACACAACTTTAAGCCCGCGAGCCAAAGCAACACAACTTAAAGCTCGCAACCACACTGCAACACAACCACAACACAACACAACTTAACACAATGCAACAACACAACTTAAAGCTCGCAACCACACTGCAACACAACCACAACACAACGTAACACAATACATCTTAAAGCAAACCCAACTTAACGCAACCCATCCCAACACAAATTAGATAAATGTAACGCAACCACAACGCAATTTAAAGTGATGCAACCTGCAACAAACACAACTCAATAGCAACATTTGGTTTTTCAAGAGCATTATATACCAATGTTATTTTTAGTTTTTCAAATAAATGGCACAACTATGTACAGTACTGCTAGCCTTCCCATTGGCAATATTTTTTATCGTATAGTAGTTACATAATGTTAAAAAAAAGACTACGGTCCACCGAGCACAGTCTCGCAAAATCTGTGAGAAAAACTGTGATATATAACAATATTAACTAAATATATTGTGACAGAAAAAGGTTATTTCAGGCGTTTAGTAAATTAAGATTATCCAGTCATGTCCACTTCTAACTAATACCAATCCCCCAGGATACAGACTATGACTTTATGTATATCTCCCCTCTTTATTTTAAACAAACTTTTGATTAAAAGTTTTACTGGATGGACTTTACTTCCATCTGGATTTATCCGGTTGCTTAAACACAGTATGTGGAAACTGTCTTGAAGTGAGTGGTACCAATTAGCTTAAGTGTTGCCTGAGATTTAGTTCAGTAACAAAGTATTGATTATAAGTATAAAAACACTCCCATTTGTTTTATGCAAATTATACTTACGTCATGATGTTTAATGCGCTCACTTTAAATCAGTGTGCAGAGCTGGTTTAGTATCAGAGGTGTAAAGTAGCTAAGTACATTTACTCATTTTATGCGACTGTGTATACTTTGACTCCACTACAAGTATTTAATACCTTTAGTTACTTTACAGATGTGGATGAATGATGTGAAATCTAATCAAGTGTTAAATCAGACTTTAGTTCCACCTGGAGTAAATTCACAAGCTACCCTGCAGTATACAAAGTCATTCAAACTAGCTGCACCTTTACCAGCTTTGAGAACACTTTCATGATCAATCATTATAAAACATATCATATATATTATTCTGAAATGGACCAATCTGCACAATGACTACTTTTACTGTCGCTACTTTCACTATATTTTGATGAGAATACTTTTCTACTTTCACTTGAGGAACATTTTGAATGCAGGACTTTTACTGTAACAGAGTATTCCTACACTCTGGTACTTCTACTTTTACTCAAGTACAAGATCTGAGTACTTCTACTTTTACTCAAGTACAAGATCTGAGTACTTCTACTTTTACTCAAGTACAAGATCTGAGTACTTCTACTTTTACTCAAGAACAAGATCTGAGTACTTCTACTTTTACTCAAGTACAAGATCTGAGTACTTCTACTTTTACTCAAGTACAAGATCTGAGTACTTCTACTTTTACTAAAGAACAAGATCTGAGTACTTCTACTTTTACTCAAGAACAAGATCTGAGTACTTCTACTTTTACTCAAGAACAAGATCTGAGTACTTCTACTTTTACTCAAGTACAAGATCTGAGTACTTCTACTTTTACTCAAGTACAAGATCTGAGTACTTCTACTTTTACTAAAGAACAAGATCTGAGTACTTCTACTTTTACTCAAGAACAAGATCTGAGTACTTCTACTTTTACTCAAGTACAAGATCTGAGTACTTCTACTTTTACTCAAGTACAAGATCTGAGTACTTCTACTTTTACTCAAGTACAAGATCTGAGTACTTCTACTTTTACTCAGGTACAATATCTGAGTACTTCTACTTTTACTCAAGTACAAGATCTGAGTACTTCTACTTTTACTAAAGAACAAGATCTGAGTACTTCTACTTTTACTCAAGAACAAGATCTGAGTACTTCTACTTTTACTCAAGTACAAGATCTGAGTACTTCTACTTTTACTCAAGTACAAGATCTGAGTACTTCTACTTTTACTCAAGTACAAGATCTGAGTACTTCTACTTTTACTCAGGTACAAGACCTGAGTACTTCTACTTTTACTCAAGATCTGAGTACTTCTACTTTTACTCAAGTACAATATCTGAGTACTTCTACTTTAACTCAAGTACAAGATCTGAGTACTTCTACTTTTACTAAAGAACAAGATCTGAGTACTTCTACTTTTACTCAAGAACAAGATCTGAGTACTTCTACTTTTACTCAAGTACAAGATCTGAGTACTTCTACTTTTACTCAAGTACAAGATCTGAGTACTTCTACTTTTACTCAGGTACAAGACCTGAGTACTTCTACTTTTACTCAAGATCTGAGTACTTCTACTTTTACTCAAGTACAATATCTGAGTACTTCTACTTTAACTCAAGTACAAGATCTGAGTACTTCTACTTTTACTCAAGATCTGAGTACTTCTACTTTTACTCAAGTACAATATCTGAGTACTTCTACTTTAACTCAAGTACAAGATCTGAGTACTTCTACTTTTACTCAAGAACAAGATCTGAGTACTTCTACTTTTACTCAAGAACAAGATCTGAGTACTTCTACTTTTACTCAAGAACAAGATCTGAGTACTTCTACTTTTACTCAAGTACAAGATCTGAGTACTTCTACTTTTACTCAAGTACAAGATCTGAGTACTTCTACTTTTACTAAAGAACAAGATCTGAGTACTTCTACTTTTACTCAAGAACAAGACTGAGTACTTCTACTTTTACTCAAGTACAAGATCTGAGTACTTCTACTTTTACTCAAGATCTGAGTACTTCTACTTTTACTCAAGTACAATATCTGAGTACTTCTACTTTAACTCAAGTACAAGATCTGAGTACTTCTACTTTTACTCAAGAACAAGATCTGAGTACTTCTACTTTTACTCAAGAACAAGATCTGAGTACTTCTACTTTTACTAAAGAACAAGATCTGAGTACTTCTACTTTTACTCAAGAACAAGATCTGAGTACTTCTACTTTTACTCAAGTACAAGATCTGAGTACTTCTACTTTTACTCAAGTACAAGATCTGAGTACTTCTACTTTTACTCAAGTACAAGATCTGAGTACTTCTACTTTTACTCAGGTACAAGACCTGAGTACTTCTACTTTTACTCAAGATCTGAGTACTTCTACTTTTACTCAAGTACAATATCTGAGTACTTCTACTTTAACTCAAGTACAAGATCTGAGTACTTCTACTTTTACTAAAGAACAAGATCTGAGTACTTCTACTTTTACTCAAGAACAAGATCTGAGTACTTCTACTTTTACTCAAGTACAAGATCTGAGTACTTCTACTTTTACTCAAGTACAAGATCTGAGTACTTCTACTTTTACTCAGGTACAAGACCTGAGTACTTCTACTTTTACTCAAGATCTGAGTACTTCTACTTTTACTCAAGTACAATATCTGAGTACTTCTACTTTAACTCAAGTACAAGATCTGAGTACTTCTACTTTTACTCAAGATCTGAGTACTTCTACTTTTACTCAAGTACAATATCTGAGTACTTCTACTTTAACTCAAGTACAAGATCTGAGTACTTCTACTTTTACTCAAGATCTGAGTACTTCTACTTTTACTCAAGTACAAGATCTGAGTACTTCTACTTTTACTCAAGTACAAGATCTGAGTACTTCTACTTTAACTCAAGTACAAGACCTGAGTACTTCTACTTTACTCAAGTAGATCTGAGTACTTCTACTTTTACTCAAGTACAACAACTGAGTACTTCTCTGTTTAGTATTCTGCAGTGAATAACTCTACTTCTTCTCTTCTCACTATACATGCTGCATACAGTTCTCCTGAAATGTGAGAGTAATTGGGTATTTTGTGACATAGAATCTCTGTATCTGGAGTGACTCTGGAGATGATTTATGGAAATTGTAGAGAGAGAATGTGTTGAATT